GCATTCCATTTAAGGAAGAATAACATTAGAGTAGTTGAGAAAAGTAGTAACATTTTTTCCGGCAGATGGCATTAATATTTTTATATGAATAATGAAAATCAAATTCCTAATAGTTATATTTGCATATTGAATATAGTTTTTAAATTAAAACTACATAATTGATTTCCGTATTATTTGCCTATTATTTCATAATATATTAAAAATTTCTACGTTATAAAATTTATTTTGCTCACAACTAATAGCATTATTTTCAAATCATTGCATTTTTTTTCGATGATTTAACAAATATAAAATTGTTTCACATAACAGAGTTGGATCAAACCAATGATTTTTGAAGAAGTACTTTTCCTTTGAACAATTGAAAATATTGCTTTTAACAACAGCAGTCTACTATATTATTAAAAATTAGGTAGGTAAAAATTTTCTTCTTTAGAAAAATAACTTTTTTCTTAAAATCTATTTGTCTATGTATATAATATTTAAGCTTTCTATCTCAAAGAGTGTAGAAGTTTTGTAAATATAGGAGTGTAAAAGTTTTCTCAAATTTTTCGAAAAATTGCTAAAGAATATTTTTATGTTTTTTCCTATTCGACTTTCTAGTCTGATACCACATCAAAATTTTTAAAAAATTGCTAATTTTGTATGTAATTTTAAGGCGGATTTCCACTCAATGTCCGGACGTCCGGACAAAATTTTCAACCAATCAGAAACCTTCAATAGCAAACGTCAGTCCATCAGAAATGTCAGTTCTTCGGGAGTAGTGGAAATCAACCTTTTTACGTTCATGATATTTGCATGTGCTAGTATCTTCTTAACAGTGTAAAAATATTATTGTCCGGACGTCTGGACATTGAGTATAAATCCGCCTTTAATTGTGTATGAAAATATTCAAATATCTGTAATATTTTATAAGTACTTAATGTAGAAACTCATAGACTCAAAGTTATGAAATATAATATTCATTTTGTTATAATAAATAATAATAACAATAGAATTAGTAAAATTAATTGAAAAAAAATAATATATAATACGAAGTCTTAGAACATGAACTGAATACATATATGTATGTGTGTGTATATCATAAATGAATATTTTTTAATTTGAATAATTTTATAATAATCAAAAAATCGTAAACTGATCAACTAGAATTAATTTTAATATCACATCAAAATTAAATTATTATTTGCGTATTTTCTATATTCTATATACATTTTATATACACATACTCGTACACACGTAGGTGATATATAGAAAGCGAAAATTCATTTCCTGTCAAAAACATGTTTTAATTTCGTCGTCAATTTTCTCAATCTTCATACTTAAATTAAAAAGAATTTATGCTGATGTTATAGGTATTAATAAAATTTAATATTAAAAAAAAAAGATTAAAATTCACCAGTTACATAATAAATATTGAAACAAGATCTATAATACGTCTTTGTATGACAAAGAAATGTGTGTTTGATAGGAAAAAAAAAATAATCAAGTGTTTCATTTGTAATGTTTTCTTTAAGTTTATACAAAATAATTTGAAATAAAATTAAATGTTTTTTTAAAATTATAACAAAATCATTAAGATTAAATAAATTGTTTAAGTTTTGTGCTAAATTCACATATAATCGAAATGATTTATAAAAAGCCGAATAAAGGAATTTATTTCATAAATGTGGAATGTTACTACACTTCAATTACCACTGGTTTGTAAAGTAGCACTTTTCTCTTGAAGTAGTAAAATCACTGTTTTTAAGAAAAATCTAATAAATTATTACTTTAATTCAAATAACAAAATTTATCATTATTAGATTACACGATGTTTACCGTTACAACACAAGATTTTTACATTCATTGTAATTTGAAAAAGGTTTCAGTTTCGGGAATATAGGGTTCTAAAATTTAATTTGTATATGATTTCCGGGAGGAGACAACTTGGAAGCGAATGGCGGTAAAGAAAAAATATTCTGCTAATGAATTAAAACAATTTATTAGTTCCTGAAAGCTGCTAAATTTTTAGACTCCTACAGCTTAACGTCTATAGAAAAAACACTATATCCAAAATTTAAAAAAGAAAAAGAAAAGATTTTTGATTTTAAATAACGGATGATTATGGTCGGTTTTTTGTTGTTTCAACGTTCATATATTACGATGTCAAATCAGAATATATGTTAAAAAATGACATTTTTCGGACTTTGTGAAATAACATTTAGAGGTGAGAAGATATGTAACAAATTTCTTTTTCAAAATTAAGTTCCTAGCAAAGATCTATTTGTGCTTAAAAAATCAGTTTATCTATCTTTAAAGTAATAGAAATTTTGTAAACATACACTCGGACTGACAGAATGGAACTAATAAGAATAGACCTTTTTTTTGAAAAATTGGAACTAAGTTGAAACTAATGAAAAAAACTTAATTTCTAGCGATTATAAATAACTATATAAAAAAGTTAATAAAAATTTAAAAATAAGCTGATATTAATTGTTTTAAATTTTATATTTTGTGAAGAAATTTATTGAATTCAACACGTACAACATGTTCGATATACATATAAATATGAATTGTACGTTTAATAATAATTAACGGTAATATTAATGATTTATACGCATGTATGAAAAAACTTTGAAAATGAATATTTTTCTTTGTTTTTAAATACAAGAGAAAAAACGTAAATTTAATTCTGAATCACTTTTTTATGTTCAACTTAGTGGATCGTCTATTTCCTTAATTGGAAAAAAAATTGGCCAACACCTAATATTTTATATAATCAAGTAATTTTACCTATTACAATAAATTTCATGCAAATACATAATACGAGTATGTATACATTATTATAGTGATTCTTGAAATGTTTGCCTAAATATATGCAATTTACTATTTGATTTATATTAATGTTCATTTGATTCATTTCTGTATCAAGAAGTCATTTATTTAATATTTTGTATAAATGAAAATACAATAGCTATTTAATTCTAAATTTTAGAATCAGATAACTATAAGAACTTATTCATAAATCGTAGTTACTTGTTCCATATGTTTTGTCAATTTAAAAATAGTACACTTTATTATTTATACAATTGCGATTTTTATTTTTTTTTATCTGTTTAATGAGATTTAAAGATAAATAATTTAGAAATTGTTATATGTGTACACGTTTGAGTACAATATATATGTACGTGATACTATGCTTAAGATTATTGAAAACAATAATTTTCTAAATAGAATATAGATGACGCATATGTTATGAACAATATTAAAAATTATAAAATTCTATTATTTATTTAATCACATGTTTATTTTTTTTTGCTAGACAATTAGAACCCTAAATATTTATTGTAGATAATAATAAGAGTTATTATTAAAATTTATAAACCAAGATGTTCTCTATTTTAAAAAATAATTAAACTTTTGATAACCTCTGTCAAAAATGTAACATACGTATATATTTCTAACTTTATACTCTATATATTTAATTTATTTGCAAGTAAGTAACATATGATAATAAAATAATTATGTGTCATTTTAACTACATAAATTCAATATAAGGTCGAATATTTGAACAAATAATATTTAGAGTACAACTGCAAAGTTTATAATTGATCGGATAACTTTAGGGTACCAAAAATATTTAGATTATTTTGTTATACACAAATTTTAAAACTCTTATATTTACATTTTTTTTTAAACACAAAAACATAATTTTGAAATTGATGTTAACTATAAATGAAGTCTAGATTTATAGGTAGATGATTTTATAGACAGAAAATATAAACATAATATGCATGTGTAGAACCAGTACATACGTCGTCCTTCGTTGATTCACAAATGAATATTCAAATTTGTTATATTCTCTTTATTGAATTTGAAAATTATAATTTTTTTTGTATTTAATATTTTTCATAGATCGAATAACATTAGCACAGTTGTATTTTATTTATCTTATACATTTTGTTATTGAACGAGGTTAAATTTGTACGAATAATTTTAAATATGTTTGACATTCTATTTTCTAATATTATACCATAGACAAGAATATATATGTATATAAGTAAATATTGAGAGTTTATAGATATTTTAGCGGTATTTACATAATAACAAACAAAATTTCTCTTCTTGTAGAAGTGAATAAATTTAGAAAGTAAATTTATTTGTGTAGTATGCCTATACATAAGCATGTAATCTATTCATATTTAAGTCTAAAACTACTATAATATTAAATAATAATAAAATACTTATTTAACCCATATATTAAATTTAAATTGTTTTAAATATATTAAAATACTTACCTCGTCATAAATAGTTTCCTATTGTTTAAAATACGGCAGAAACAGCATAATCTATTCAAAATTCTCAAATTTTAGTTTCAGTTCAAACATACATGTATATTTCAGCGATTATGTCATAATCACATTATAAATGGCATGTACTATAAACCTTCTTAGAGTATAACAGATTCTATATTCAAAGAAAAACTATAAGTAAACAAGAAAAATATTATAAAAAGGAAAATCATAAATAAAAATTGTAAGGATTCTAATTGTAACCCTATCACACTGTCAATTTTAATTTTAAAAATTTTAACTACGATATTAGAATTTTATATACGTATAACACAACTACGATAATGTTAGATTCTATATAATAATACAATTTTCAGTTATACCAATAAAATTAACCAAAAACGAAAAAAAAAACACCATACAATTTCAAAGTGATCCAATTTAAATTAAACATTATTATTAATATTAATATTGTTTCTTAAATAAATATTAAAAAAAAAAAATTAAAATTTTAAAAAAATAATAAAAACTAATAATAATAATAATAATGAAAATAAATTTATTAAAAAATGAGATCATTTTATTGCTGGTGCAATACTTTATACTATTGAATCATCTCTCACTCATCATTGACGTGGTAAACATTAAAACAAAAAAATTGTGATAACGTCAAAATGTAATTAATTTAAAAAAAAAATAATAATAATTAAAATAAATAATTATATATACATATATATATATATATGTATTTATTTACAACATATTTGAAAACAATAAAATCAATTGAACTTTAAGTAGGAAATGGAAATTCATTTTATTGATCTTCTTAAATTCTTTAAATATTATTCAAGAATAATTTTAAGAATTTCTCATCATCAAAAATTTCACTCAAGTATTTTCATTAAAAATTTTTAAAGGGAAAATCCATAATTATATTGAAAATAATAAGATTTCCATGAATTTTAAATTTAATTTTAATTAATTGTATTTTTTAATGTATATTTTCCAATTTTTTTGGTAATTAATTATTATTTTATTATATTACGAATATATATAGCTACATCACTGCCCTGGTTAGAATTTTCAAATAATACAGCTCTTGTGGAACTATAGTAGTCTTCTTTACAATATATCAAATTATTTAATGTTTTACAGAATTTTGAATATTTTTGGTATATTTTTAAGTATTTTCATTTTACAGTACATACATTTGATTACATTTAATATTTTATAATTATATGGTATTTTATATATAATATTAATATAGAAGAAAATTTCTTAATAACATGAGCATCTATTTCCTATACAAAATCCACCTAATTTACCAGTGTAACGACAGGATCTACCACAATCATATGATGAACATAATGAAAAAATTTGACGTTTAACTCTCAAATCTGGATCTGTAAAAATTAAAAATCGTAATTTATATTTAACATAATTATTATTTTCTTTTATATAATAATGTAATTTCTATTATTACCATTTTGTTCAAGTTGTGAATCGTCCTCTCTAGCAATTGTTGCTTCAGTAAAGTAAAGCATAACAATAAAAAATGATATTAAATAGAAAAATTTCATCTTTTCAATTTCTAGTAATTCTTAATACTTTTAGAGATACTTATTATACTGAATCTCAGTTTTCAATTGTTGGAGATGCACTTTTAGTTCTTCATATTTATATAAAAATTTATATTAAAAAAAAAGTCCCAAATTACCTTGGTTATTTACCCTAACACTGTGAATCCCAATAATTTTATAACTTATCACATAGATAATGTATTTTTTACAAGGAAAAAACTAATTTACAATATTTAGACAAGCTTTAAGAAATATTCTCAATAATTGTGTAGCTACAATATATTTTGAAATATTCTTAAAAATTTTAAATTTTAAGAGTATAACATTAATATAAACTGAATTTTTCATTTAACAGAAAAATTTATGATACCATTATTTATTTTAAGATAAATTATGTACACAAGTACTAAAAATTTAAATTTTAAGAAATGGCTATCGAGATAAAATTTCTCTTAAAAAAATTATTCTTGCTTATTAATTTAGTATACATATACATTAGTTATTGTTCTAAGTATTTGAAAAATTATAGGCTTTTTTAAAACAGTTGATTTTATTTTAAAACTCCCAAAAATAAAGAAATTAAATCGTAGGCTGCAAAAAATTTTTTGTAATCTGTTTTAGTACTTTTGTCTTATAAAACTCCTGTTAATTAAAATGACCTTCTATAGACAATATCAAATTATTTTTTGGTTGTAGATTTTCGAATATTATTGATATTTTAAAATATTAATGATTTTTAAATATTACTGATATATATTGCAGTATATTTGACTATTCGAATAATGCGGCTGCATAATCAAGCCGTACTATAGTACTTTAGAACAATAAAATAATATAATTAATTATTTTATTGCAACAAATTCTCTTACATATTTTTGCACCTAAAAATTCAATATTTTTTATATTATGAATTTTTTTACATTTTAATATATGTATTAAATAATTATGAATTTTATTAGTTGCCTCATAGTATTATGAATTAAAAGAGAAAATTTATAATATTAAAACTTATGAAGACAATTAATCATTATTTATTTAACTAGGCTGTCAAATACATCGAGAAGAGCGGCATACATTGCAGAATTGCAAGCATATGAGTTAAATTTGAAAAGGTTTCAAATTGAGAAATAAAGTAAATTATTGTAATTTGTACGAGTATTCGTGTACATTACCAAATTCAAAATGCATCTTGAACAATATTATCCTTTAATTGCATAAACACATGAATTTGCTGTAAAATTTTAATTTTAAAAAAATATTTCTATTAAAATTTTTACGAAAAATTTAATCGTTGATTTCATGAAAACGTGAAATACCATAACGTCCAAAATGTACTGAAAAAAAATTTACTACAATTAAATTGCAGTATTTTTTTTTTTCTTTTTTATTCTATTTCGCTCCTGGGAGGAGCATAGGGCTGCTGCATGATATTATAGATAACCATAAAATAGTTTCTCGTGTCATTGGTAGGTGACAAGCCCACCGTATAATTACAGTATTAATACCGTAATAAAACTTAAAAAAAAAACGACTGCATTGTAGTTCCAATTTTCACGCTACGCTGTTTGCTTCCTCATTGCGTAGTTAATATCCATTTTTAATAATTTGCTCCATGCTGCATTTATATTAAATTTTTTATTCTACATTCTACAATAATATGTCATTGCATTTTGGATGTAAGGAATATTTGATTGTAATTTCAAAATTTATTATTTTTTTTTGCTTTTGTCTTAAATATTCTTTTGAAAACACAATATTAAATAAGAGATCAAATCAAAATATTTCAAAGAATTAATTAATGAATAATTATAATGAAAAATAAAATGCTGTCTTTAACCTTAACTTTTATAATATTGTCTATACAGATTATTATGAAGCGCCTTTTTCATTTTAAAATTTTCCATAAGTCTATTACTTATATACTATGTTCAAATATGAATAACTACATACATATATATGTATAAATTTACATATTTATTTATATTTACATTTTTGTAATATTATTTTTATTTTACTTTCTCCTAATCATTATTATTATCATTATTATTAATGTATTTATATTGAATAGCCAAATTGTCTAGCATTAAATTAATATTTTAATAAAATATTTATTGATATTGATATCAATAGTAAATTTTTGTAAACGATTGTAGGGGCAATTTAAAGTATAAAATAAAATTTTATGAATTATATTTTTATTACTATAAAAATTTTCAGTTTGAATATCAAAAGTACACCTAAAATTAAAATTTTAATTTTACATTGCAACTAAAATAGAGTTTCGATCCCTCATGTTAGTAAAAGAATATGAAATCGAATCCTTTTTTTGAAGGATATTAAATTTTGTCATACTTTGTAGTAATTTAATAATATTATTTTAATCATTTGTTTTAACACTTTTGCTTTCATTAAATAAATCATAATATAAGTGATGTTGTACAAGTTGACCACAATAAACAAAAATTGAACCATTTGGTATGTGCACACACATTAATGAACTTTACTTTAATTTAATTCAATATACACATATAACAATAACAAGCGGAATTCCAATAACCTTTATTAAGGCTATATATGACAAACAAGATGCAGGATTAATAATCTAATATACATAAGATTATAAAAATTTTTTTAGGTTGTTCGAAAAATGTACGTTCACTAAAATTAGTAGGAAGCCCCTTTTATACTATAGTATTAAAAATTTAAAATGCTTTGATCCAAATGCAATTTAAATATTCATATGAGTAGCAATTTAATCAGTAATTCAGACATTCCAACTCATTATAATGAACTGTATGTGATATTAAGGTGTTTTAAATGTTTTATGAATCGTAATTGCTAGAATATTGGTAATTAATTACAGTATATAATAAATAGAATAAATTTATTAATTATAAAGTTATAATTGAGCTTTACATTTTCCGTTTATGTAGAAAATAAAATTTAACTGTCTTTCTACTAAATATGGTTTCATTGAACGGTTTTATTAAATAATAATTATGTATATTTTAATTCCATGAAAAAAAATCTTAAAATTCATATTGCCTTTTTAATAAAAATTATATAAAAATAACCTTTATAGTTAATTTAATCAAAATTTAAGAAGTATAATGGTAAACTAATATATATTAGCATAATATTAAGACCCCTCACAACGTATTATAGCTGTTCAACACATTTAATTTGTTATCATTTAATAAATAAAATTTTCAATAAATCGAGGAACCAATAAGGATTCGAAAACAAAAGGATATAATCTAAAATGTCATCAGCACTAAAACAAAATTTTTAATGCATTCAACATATTTGTGTATTTTTTAAAAATTATATAAGAATGTTCAATGAACTATAACATTTTATTATTTTTGTTTTGAAATAATAAAAGATTTTGAATAAACAAAAGGGGATTAAAATACATAATAACAAATTTAAATATGGAAATCTTCAATTTCTATTATAACAAGATAACAATAATAAATAGAAAGAAAGATTGCATGCAAACCAGTACAGATGCTTTGAGAATGGAAATTTTTTGAAGGTTTTTTATTTTATTAATATGAATATAAAAATTAATAAAAAACAAAACAATAATAAAAAAGTTGTAATCAATATAATCCATTATCAATGCAAAACATTGTTACAAATTATCAGTAAATTTTATTTTCTTCTCTTGTTTGGTCATAATTCATAAAATAAAACAAGATGAAGTGAAATATTTGAACAACTATAGGATATTTGAAACAGAAATAATATTTACTAAAATTTTAAGATTTTTTCACGGCTCTAGAATTTAATATAACTATGAAAGGTATATCTAAAATATTTTGCTAGAACTGAAATCGAAACTGAAGCTTTAAAATTAATCACAAGGTTCCATCACAAGACTGTAACAAATTTTAAACTCAGATACTTAGTAACTAGTAATAATAAACTTTCCGTCAGATTGAAATTGTAATTATTAACAGTTGTATTAATACAGAATCAGTTTATAAATGCGAATTCATCGATTGTGCATTAATGCATTAATGTCTGATGCCAGGGTTTGTCTCATGAGCATGTTTTGTTATTACATTTTTTAACAAGCCTTATTAAGTTTAACATAACATTGAACGTTTTCAAATAAATAATTCACTTATTATTTTTATTAATTAATTAAGACTTATTATTTATTAATATTTAACTGATGCCGGAGACGAATCCATTAGTGAATTATAAGAATTAGTATTTAAAATTTAAATTGTTAACAAAATATCAATTTCATAATACATTTTGAAATTATTTCTTAATGTTTATAAAAAATTAAACTAAATTAAAAAAAATAAACATATGTATATGTTGGGATGTGTAACCATATTATTGCATTATAATCACACCACACTTAGAACCTCTAACATAACCTGAAAAAGTCAACACCTTACATAAATTTTTGATTTGTAAACATTGTACTAAAAAAAAATTATAGTTTATGCATGCTTGATATTTGCATACATACTTAATTAATTATATTACCCTAAGATTTTAATAATATTTTTTTTTTTGCCCATTTCATTTTTGAGTTCAAGTTTTATTTGTTTATATTAAGTTGAAAAATATATTTAGTTCAATAATTTATTAAAATTAAATAAAGAATTACACAACAATTAAGAATTGAACTATTTTTGAATATTAAATATAATTCTGACAAATTTATATGTAGAGATTTGCAATTAAAGCTAAAATTTAAGTTATGGCAAAGCTTTATCATTAACAAACATGAGTGTATGACAATCAAGTACATATTGAAATAAATGTGGCGATAAAAAAAACGATTGCAATCGAAAAAAAATAAAAGAGAACTATAGTATGTATGCTGCTGTAGAAACTCTTACTTGAAATTTCCTCGATAATCTTGAACAATATGATCAGAAAAAGCATTTCTGTCTAAGAAGTAAACATAAACTTCAGTGAGATGAAATAAATCTTTATGAAGATTTTTTTTTGTTACATTATGCATTGGTACATCAGCAGAAAGAACTACTATTTTACACAGAGTCTTTTATGGGTTTGATGAATTTCTTTGTAATTTTCTTAATATTGAAGAAACAAATCTTTGAGCATTAATTAAAATAAATTTTGATTATATACAAATAAATAACGTAAGCATAATGTTTAGTAATGACTCGTTAAATTGTTTTATTATACAATTATAATTTATTATGATTAGTTAAATTTAAAATATAATTAAAGGATTGTTATAATTGACGCATTATTTAATAACTGAATAATTTTTAATTCAACATAAAAAAGAAATAATATTTTTGAATAAAATATCTGAACTAATCGAATTTAATATAGTAAAACTTTGAAAAAAAAATTTATAATTTTATTATGTATTTTATACAATAGATTAACAGAAAAATATTTAATAACATGAGCATTTATTCAATACGCAAGATCCACCTATTTTACCAGTGTAACGACAAGACATAGCACAATCAGATAACGAACAATATGATAGAATTTGGCGTTTAACTCTCAAATCTGAATCTATAAAAATTAAAAATTGTAATTTATATTTAACATAATTATTATTTTCTTTTATATAATAATGTAATTTCTATTATTACCATTTTGTTCAAGTTGTGAATCGTCTTCTATAGCAATTGTTGCTTCAGTAAAGTAAATCATAACAATAAAAAATGATATTAAAGAGAAAAAATTCATCTTTTCAATTTCTAGTAATTCTTAATACTTTTAAAGATATTTATTGTAAGATATTTAATTTTTGATATTTATATAAAAATTTATAATAAAGAAAAAATCCCCTACTGATTTGGTTATTTACCCTAACACTGTGAATCCCTAATTTTTATAGATTATCACATAATATGCAGAAAATATATTTTTTAAAGTCGAAAAAACAAAATAAAAATTTTTATATATGGTTTAAAGAATATATTCAATAATTAAGAATTTAAAAAATTCTTGAATTTCCAGGGTAACATTACTTATTATAAAATAAAATGCTATTAAAAAAATTATTCTCGTTTTACCTTATAAAATGAAGTATAATTTAAGTATATTCTAAAAATTTTAAAAATTAGGCATTAAATTAAAAGTTTTCAAAACAGTTAATCTTATTCTAAGATTCCCACAAATAAACAAATTTAACAATAGGCTGAAAAGATAAAAGCAGTATATAAATTATTTTTTACACCTACAACAAAACTTATTATTATTTTTTGTTTGCAAAATTGTTAAAAAAAACTGAGTTTAAAAAAAATTTTGATATTTTATAAGGCAATAAATTATGAATTCATAGTAAGTACTTACAAATAAATTATTAACTTAATTGAACGAAGACAAAATCTTGTTGAAAAAATTGCAAAAATAAAACTTTTTAAATAATTTAATTAATTAAATGCACTTTATTTCTTTATTTTATTATCTTCAAAATCAAATCCAGTTATTTATCGGTGTTTTAAAATTTCCATTAATAATAATTAAGTTTGACTTGATTTTTTATAAGACTTTTTATATAGTTTACAATTAGTTATGATGTATATTGTTTAATAGGTAAATAATAATATATAATTAGAAGTTACAATATATTGCTACAAAAAAAAATTTTTTTTTCTTATTTATTAAATTAATACTTTAATAAAAAAAAAATTAAAAAATGTTTAGCTATACAAAATTATTAACTTTTGTTTTTTTGTTTTTTTCTTTTAAGTTAAAATAACATAAATTTAAAACACAAAGAAATTATATTATTTATATTCTAAAATTTTAATAAAATATGTATAAAAAAGTATTTTTTGTAACTCTTTTTTAATTAAAAAAAAAAATGTAATTAAAATCAAAAATTAATTACATTAACATGAATTATCATTCATATTAGTTGTTTATTTTGTGTTTTTATATAATTTGTGTATATAAATATGTTTATAAAATATTTATCACTTATTTAGATCAAAAATAGTTAAGTATTTTTCAAAAAAAAATCCTCTTCAATAATTTTAATATCTCATCATCATAGTATTTTAGATTAGTTATGATTATAAATCTTAGTAATTTTATTAAAAAAATCTTTATATTAATTTATTGCTGTTTGTGAATAAGTAAAAATTAGATTTTTCTATATTATTATTACAAATATCATTTTTTTTTTAAATGTGTTTTACTTTTAAATTTTACTTTATTTTATATTATTTTAATAACTCTGAAGTTGATGCAATAAAATATGATTATTTTTATAAGAAAAAAAAAAGAAGGATTAAAAATAAAAATATGAAAATTAAGAAATAAATGAAGTTAATTTTAATTTTATAACAGATTTTAAATGTTTTAAGGAAATCTATTTTTTTAAACTATTATTTAACGAAAAAAATTTAAATCAACTTTTGATTTTAATGTTTTAATTAAGTTTTCACTATTTGTTGATTTCTGATTAAGGTTAATTTCTTATTCACAAGTAAATAACACATTTATATTTGAGTTAATTTTTTTATAATATCATTATTATATATATATATATTTGTTATCAAAAACTACGGTATAAAAACAAAAGTTTCAATTGTAAAAATTTTTGCTAGTTCTTTTATGTACTTAAATATTATTTAATTCATAATTTCATTAATATTTTATTGTGATTTTGTTAATATTGCGGTAAATGGCAGTATAATATAATTAAGTTATTAATTACATTCATTAATTTAAAATTATTGCGCAGCTTTTTGATATATTATGTATGTTGTAAAAAAAAAGTGTTAACAAACTTTGTTTCATACAAATTTTTTGAAATATGTAAATTAAAAATTATTTCTACAAAATTGATGTATTTAAAATTTATTTATATAATTCTATATACTCTTTTTTTTTGACATAGGTGATTTTAACAGTAATTAATCGAACCATTAATAAATTAAGTAATTTAAACAATTAAAAAATTTATAAAAAATTCATTGAAAAAAAAATTCCAAATTTTGCAAGTGCATATATTTAATGTATATAAAATTAATTGCACTTTGTAGTCCAAAATAGTTTTTTCCAAAATTTATTTTTAACATTTTCTTTTTTATTCTTTTATACATTATACTTGAAAATTATGTTAATTAGTAAATTCTTCTACAAATATCAATATTAGTCTGACGCCAATGTAATTTTTAAACTACCATTCTTCAAATTTTAATTAACATATAACTACTTACATTTTGTCATTTTCAATTTTATATAATATGTATAATAATTGGAGTTGAAAAATACAAATACAAGTTTTGAGATAAACAAGGAAAATAGAAAGTCTGATATTGATCAAGAAACATTATCACCACTTCTTATATAAATACGTATGTATTAATGTGCACAGCTAAAAAGTTTAAAATATGAAGCATTAAGGAAGATTAAATTCTCAAATTGATAAACGTGGCATATTTTTTCTGCCCTTAGTTTATATTATTTTATATAACAATTTTGCATATTCGTTATATAAGCACAACTATATACGTCCTTAAACCATATTTATGATTTAGCTAACCCAAATATTGATAACTAGCACAAACAGGTTCAACTCTTGAATGAGTTGATGTTTGTAATGCAAGTCTTTGCAAATGACAAGCTCTGCACAATAGATGACCATCTAATGGATAACATCTTTTATCTGGTTCGTCAGTCAATTGCATACCACATTGCTCACAGATATAACAATCTACATGAAAATCTTTATCCATTGATACAACACGAACAGTTTCATCAGTACCTTCAACTGGTGTTATACCTAAAATGCATTTCAGAATAAAGTATAAGTATGTAAATTGTAATATTCGTCATTTTTACCTTTTCCACAACTAGCACATTTTGGTGCAAACATTCTGTGATAATCATTAACACAATAAATTTTGTGATCCACATCAACTGTAAAAGGTACGCCATCTAAACATTCATTACAAACACAACAACGGAAGCATCCGGGGTGATATGATTTCCCCATGGCTTGCAATATCTATAATATATTTAAAAAATTATTTACAAAATGTTTTTAAGATAATTTATTACCATTTCCATAATTAAATGACCACAAATAGCACATTTCTCTGCAGTTTGTTGAAAACCTGAATACTAAAGAATAACAATTTACAATAATAACGTTAGAATAGATATTACAACTTATTACCATATAATCTTCCTCACAGTACACACGACCATGAACATTGTAAAATGCTTTACCCCGGAGTGCGCGACCGCAAGAACAGCAAATGAAGCAATTTGTATGATAAAGGTTTCCCATAGCTTGGCAAGCTTGTCCAGCACCAGTAACTTTCTCACCGCATTGGGTACAAATTCCTAAAACACGATTAATTAATTAAAAACATATTTTTTGTCTAATATCTAATCTTGAATGGTTATTTTATTACCAAAATATTCTCCCTGCTCTTCACTTTTTTCAAATTCTTCTTCTAATTGTCTAGTAAGCTCTTCAATTTTTTTCTCTGCCTCTGTAGGTCCAGCTGGCCTTGGCGGAGTTACATTATAGGGTAGTAAATTTTTTGACAATCCTAAAATTTGAACAATAACATATAGTTCTAATTATAAAATATATACTCAGCTTACTTGAACCACTTCCTGTACTATTTTGCGATGGCGTTGGAGAATTAGCTTGTGGCAGTGGTGAACCTGCACTAACTAATGATGGTGGTCTTACAATGTCCGTATTATTACACGGAATCATAGGAGGCGTAGAAGAATACATTTGTCGAGGCTCTGTATAACTGGATTTCGCAGATGTAGCAATTTGTGTAGATACTGCAGATTTTGGGGGAGGAATCGGTGCTGTTGGAGATAACGGGGGATTTAAAGCAGATCCACTGCTTGAATTCTGAATAGCCCTAAATACGTGCGGTGAACCATTTTTGTGATTTTTTTGCAAACTTCCACCACGACTGAGGTTTGCAGTCATGCAAACATAATCGGAACTATTAATGTCTTCTATAAAATTAGGGTTCATTGAGATGTTCATTTGTTGTTGTGTTTTCGGGTGCTGTGGTTGCGGATGTATTAATTGTATTTGCCCTGAGTGACCGGTATTTGATTGGAACAATGTCGACTTTTCATATGAAGGCTGAAAATTTAACAATAATAAAATTATTATTATGTATTTCATTTAGTCGAAAATTTTCAATTCATAAAATATATGTATGTATGTATTTTTTTTAAGTCTCTTTTTAAGATTTAAAATGTGATAAACATTATGATTCCTTTTTGTAACTATTTACAAATTACAATAATATTCATCGACTACTATTAGTCATAATTGTATAACTGCTTAAATTATAATGTTTGTGATGACTCATTATATAATATTCTTTATGTATGGGTATACTTACAGGAGGAGCAAGAGGATTTCTTTTCTGCGGCGTATGTTGTTGTAGCTGCAATTGGTAATTTTGTAAACTATTAGGAGATGGTGGCATATACTGGTGTTGATTATTTGATGCTGGTAAAGATAAATTTCTATATCTTGGAGAACCATCTGTGCCTGTTTTAGCCAGAGGTGAATTAGAAGAGTTACTCCTTCGATGTTGTGGCGACGCCAAGACCTCATTTAAATTCGATCTTAAATGTGAATTTTGTGTACCTAGATGAGCAGGGCTTGGTAGATCTTGTAATTGATATATAACTGCTGTTGATGGAGAGCCTTGCGGTTGACTTCTTGGGCCAGGTGGGGCGATATTTTCATAGATTGGTATTGGATCTAACTCTGGTAATGGAGTATGTGCATATCGTCCTATATTTACATGCTGATGTTGTGGTAAATGCTGATAAATATTAGAGTTCGATGTTTGCGATATATTGCTTCCTGTTATATTTTTATTGTTAATTGAAGCCTGCGATGGAGATCTTTTATTGTGAGAATCAAAATGCTGTCCTGCGTAAAATTCTAAATTTTCATAAACCGGTGAGGATTTTATATCACTTGTATAACTATGACCTGTTTTCAAGTTGTGTATGTGTAAAGGCGAACCATTGCGATTACTGCTGTTTCTAATATCATTTATATTTTGCATTGGAAATCTCGTTCCATATTCAATGTGTGGTGATAACTTTGAAGTTTGCAATTTGTTGCTTACCAGCAAATCATTTTTATCTTGTGATTTCAATATTATGTTATCTTTAGCTAGATTTTCAAAACCAGGATTTTGTTGTAAATGTTGCAATTGTTCATTGTATATGAAAATATTTGGATTATCAGATATTTGCATACGTTGCATTAATGCTTCATAATTATTTTCAGCTAAATTTTGATTTTTTTGATGTGATGCCATTAGAATTTAGTTACCCTTTTTTTCTGTTTAATATGTAACAGGGAATGTAATGAATATACATATAAAAAGTGTATTGTTTAAGGGATTTGTGGGTCAAGTAACACAGCTCTTTAATACTTAAATATTACAATAATAATAATTGCTTCACATATTAATAGTACTATAAATACGCTTCTTTCGTATCATTAAGTGACTCTTGAATCAGTTTCCACACAAAAAAACTTCTTAAACTTAACATAAAACAAAGAAAAATATTGTTTTGCCCAAAATTTCTACCAGGATAATGAAATTGATGTCTCAAAAGTCAAACGTCAAAAAAGAAGTTGAAAAAAAAAAAATAAAAACTTATGTATAAAAGTTGGCAGCATTTGTGAATGCTGTTTACATTGATTTTTCGATGCATTCTGAATATACATCGTTCACCAAGAAGAGTATTTAGAGCAGCGTTCCCACTTGGATACAATTGTATCCATTTGGATACATTTTTGCTTTAAATTTGAGCTTGGATACAAAGATACTCAAATCTGCTAAAATGCCGAAATTGGCTACATTTTAAAATTTTACTGAAATATGGATACATTTTTTTTCAAACACTAAATAAATATAACAAGACAGTTAAAATGCTGCTAATATTAAATCGCGAAGTTGCTTTATCATCAATAAATGTTATTTGCTGGCTATTCTAAGCAGGTTTCCGAGTTTTTTACAAGAAAGTAAAAAAGATACTTTATTAACTGCCTCTTCCTGTATTAAAATTTAGAAAATTCATACAAGAACGTACCAAAAATATTTTAGTGTTAGCTAGATGTAATAGAAAATGCATTGGATGTACATATTTTTTAAAATTTGTCCGTTTTCATGGTCAATCGTCTTTACCGCATAGTTCAACAACTACAGAAGGCATATATACATATTTTTTTTCTGACCTTAACTTTCACATTTAAAATATAATAGAAGTTGTATGTGATTTCTTAAAGAATTTAGTATAAATAACAAAACTCATATTGTGGAATAAAGCAAATTAATATTAATTATGGGTTAATTTGTACAAAATAAGACGACTTATTATAATAATGCTATTTTACGAGGTTGGATACATTTTGGATACATTTTTTTCTCGAAATTGGATACATTTTGTTTTTTCCGAGTGGGAACACTGATTTAGAGCGTTGAAAATATACAAGTACTTATTGTATACATAATACAATTATTATGTATGTCGGAATGTCCAAGAAATTTGTCGAATGGCTTGGTTTGGTATTGCGAATGCCGAACTCGTTTACTTTAAAATACTGTCAATGTTGTTTTATTGTTTGTTTACCATACTCTCAATAAAATGTTCACTAAACACGTATCAAATCCATTTGACATACTTAGTACCAAATGCTAGAAAATTTTCCAGTTCAAGAGAATTCGACAAATTTTCGAATTCAGAAAATTTGTGAATATTTTTGAAAACATTATTCGTAAAATATCCCTCACATAACACAAGTTTGTTGTTTATTCTAAAAATGCTATATAAGAAAGAAAAAAAAACTTACTATGTGCATTCACACACTGAAACAAAATCAAATTTTTAAATTTAATCTTAGAATTTTCAATTAGGTGAAATAATAAAAACAATGAGAATTACAGTAGAAAGTTTGTTTTTATTGCTAATTTTTTTTTTCCTATAATAAAATTGAACAAATTCACATTTAATTATTTTTCTTTTCACTATTTGTTAACACCCCATTTCATAACAAAACTTTTGCTACTTTAAAACTTAAATAAAATAAAATAAAATAATAAAAAAGAAAAACAGCACATATAATATAAAAAAAAATTAAAACTAATCATTCCTTTGTAGTTAACAATTTAAGTTACAATAAATTAACAACATTTTGATATTTAATTTGTACGTATTTTTGTAATAATATGCACATTAATTTTTTTAAATAATAAAAGATAAATAAGATATGTATATACATAAACAAATTATAATTAAGATATGAGGCGTTGAATACTATTTACTACATACTTAATTTTTCCTACAAAATTAAAGACTGTTGTTTAATTACATTATATTATCCCGATTTTTTTTTTACTTCCTAATTATTAATTATTCCGTGCATAAATGTACATAAATACATATGTATGTAAGTATGACCAGTAAATTTTATTTGGTTCTTTTATAATAATATTACTCTCTATAAAATATCGCCCTGTGCTAATAGAACCTGAAATATAAAGAGAAAATCTTTAATAACAAACAATATGTTAATTAACAATTAAAATTGTGAAATACAAATTCGTAATTTAAAAAGCAAATTTAAAATCTAAAAAATTTCGCCCAACAGGTGGAATCGAACCACTTCGAAATTAATCGACTACAGGTTTGAAGCCTGCACTCAGGACCACCCAAGTTCAGTTGAGCATTTAATGTGAAAAAAAATTCTATTTTACGTTATCTGCAATAAATTTCTTTATCTGTGATTTATATTTATGGAACAAAAATAAAAAAGTAGTGTTTACACTAAATTTTTGGTGTCAAATATGCAAAATTTTATAGGTAAAAAGACATTTGATTTTTTTGCTAAAACAATCACTTTTTGTTGATATTTTAATATACGATTTGTATTTTCAACGATTTATTTAAAAATTCGCACCTGATCTTACCAAATTTCATCACCGAAAATTCATTTCATAGACCTGTAATTAACCTTTTTCGGTCATCAGATATCTGATATTTTATTCGATCTAATTCATTTCGGAAATATTCAATAGTTTTCTGTAAGCCAACTTTTAATGGTACTTTCGGTTCCCAATTTAAATATCTTTTTGCTCTAGTGATATCTGGCTTTCGTCTTTGAGGATCATCTTCAACAGCTGCCGATTGCACTATTGAACTTTTTCCACCAATCAAATCCCGTATTATTATAGCAAATTCTAAAAAATTAAAATTTTTTTTTTTGCTATTTATTGTTACGTTAATTTCATTTCACCTTCTATTGTATGTTCAACCGGATTTCCAATATTGATGGGTTGGGTATAATTAGATGCCATTAGTGATATTAGGCCATCAATTAAATCGGATACGTATTGAAATGATCTAGTTTGCTTTCCATTACCGTATACAGTGATTGTTTCATTTTGTAATGCTTGTAAAATAACATTTGAAACAACTCTTCCATCGTTCATATGCATTCTGGGCCCATATGTATTGAAAATTCTTGCAACTCTAACATTCACTTTTTCTTGTTTAGCATAAGCATAACTTAACGTCTCTGAAACACGTTTCCCTTCATCGTAGCATGCCCGTGGTCCTTAAGTTTTTGTATAAATTAAGAAATTTCAAAATTTTAAATAAAATATAAAATACCTATAGGGTTAACATGACCCCAATATGTTTCAGGTTGCGGATGAACGGTTGGGTCACCATAAACTTCCGATGTACTTGCAATTAGAACCTTAGCACCAACACGTTTGGCTAGGCCTAATACATTTATAGTTCCTAGTGAAATTAAATTAAATTTTTACAATTTTGTTATATTTTTGTACCAACTGAATTTAACCTAGTGTATTCGTTTTAATTGTTTTGACAGGATTATACATGTAATGCGGTGGCGATGCTGGACTAGCTAAGTGATAAATTTCATCAACTTCTATGAATAATGGATTAACTATATCATGATGAATTAATTCAAAATTTTGATGACCTAACCAATGTTCCACATTACGTTTCCGACCGGTAAAAAAATTATCTACCACAATTACTTCGTGTCCCTGGATCATTAACTGATCAACCAAATGAGACCCTACAAAACCAGCTCCACCCGTTATCTATTTCATATATAATTAAAAAAATTCATTAGGTAAATCAAATTTTTCAAATATTATATTTCTTTTACCAAAATCCTTTTCCGGTTTTTGTAATTTAGAAATTTTACATCTGGATATTTTTTTGGTATATTTTTTTCCATTTCCATTATTCGATTTTCAATTTGTTTAAGCCGCGTCTTTGTTTCCTCAAGTTCTTTTCTCAGTCTATGTTCTTCGCTTTGGATTTCATTTTCATGAGAAGTTAGTGTCTTAATTTTACTTTCATCTATACCTAAATGTTCACTAAATTCGTTTTTAATTGGATTATTCCTATTTTCTATTATTTCCTGTTCAACAAGTTCACCAGTATTTGCTGAACTAACTAGCGATTTATATAGAAATATACCTAAAATTTTAATAAGAGGTTATAAAATGGCACTTTTAATTAATTTTATTAAATAATAAATCATTTTCGAATAATAATAGTAATAGTAAAAAATACCGAAAACAAAGGAAGTTCCAATCATACAAAATTGCTTCATTTTCTTTTTTGTGAAGATCATTTTTAACTTATATGATATAATTTTAATTCTAAATTTACATCTGTAAATTTTTATACAAAAAAATTATCTTAAAATGTTATGCATTGGAACAAAAATATTTTTTAATTTTCCGGACAAAACAAAACAAACGCAAGTAATATGTAGAAAATATTCTAATTTGTTATCAAATCAAATCAAAACTAATAAATTAAGTAAGCGTCGTTTCTGACGTTACATATGTGTTTACACAAAATTCTTTATTCATATAATAAAACTGATTTTTTTTGTGATTATACAAGAAGATTTCAATTCCTATATTTAAGAGAATTTTGAAATTCAACACGAGTTTTCAAAGCTTTTTTTTTGCAAAAAATTAAATAACTAGAATAATTAGAATAAAATTTTATTCGTCTACATTTATATATGATAATGTGCTCATATATTTTATATCGTATATGTAACATATTTATATAATAATTGGAATATAATAAATCAATTGCTAATAATTAATTAATTAAGAACATTGAAGTAATCAAACTCTATTCGAACATTTTATTATAAGAAATTAATTAATTTAATTAGAACAGCCTACTGTTTGATTTGAACCAAAAACTATAATCAAAAGTACTACGTGTTCTTCTTATTTTTCCGTTCTGTTAGTACTACTAACAGAATTCATACTATTATATGAACATAGACCTACTTTTTTATTTTAATTTTTTTTTAAACAGTAACGTTGTTTTTAGTTTTTATCTGTTTTGCTCTATATTCATATAAATAAATATCGCGTTAATTTATTTTAAAAAACGGTGTTTCTATGAGTGGTGTTACTGTACGAATTTGTATTTATATCTTGCTGTATGTACGCTTATGATTTTGACAACTTTACCTTTTGTTTACAATCAAAACAAAATCCGATTAACAAACATTAAGGTTTGAAAAATAAATTAATTTATAAATTAAATGAAAAATGGGCAGACAAATGACTGTTAGTGACTTACAAACATATTTTAAAACACATAATAAAATAAAAGAACAAAAGGCACATTCTTCCAAAGTTCATTCTGTTGGATGGAGTTGTGATGGTTTGCTAAAATAAATTTTGTGCAGCTCACAATATATAATTAAATTTAACTTACAGGAAGACGTCTTGCTTCAGGCTCTTTTGATAAAACCGTATCCGTTTTTACTTTAGATCGCGATAGAGCACTATCTAAAGAAAATACTTTTCGGGGACATACTGGCTCGGTTGACCAATTGTAAGATTTATAAAACCTATATTTTAAACTTAAGAGTAACTTTTTAATCTACAATTCTTTTCTTTTAGATGCTGGCATGCATCCATTCCGGAATTACTTAGCACCGCTAGTGGTGATAAAACAGTACGCATTTGGGATGTAAGGATGGGAAAATGTGCTACAACAATTCCAACAAAAGGAGAAAATATAAATATTACTTGGTCGCCTGATGGAAAAACTATTGCGGTTGGAAATAAAGAAGATTTAGTTACTTTTATTGATACTAGAACGCATAAAATTCGAGCAGAAGAGCAATTCAATTTTGAGGTTAACGAAATTGCTTGGAACAATACAAGTGATCTTTTTTTCTTAACTAATGGACAGGGATGTATTCATATTCTTAGTTATCCTACCCTAGAACTAAAACATGTATTAAAAGCTCACCCAGGCACTTGTATTTGTATTGAATTTGATCCAATGGGAAAATATTTTGCTACAGGTTCTGCTGATGCTTTAGTATCAATATGGGATGCAACAGAATTAGCTTGTGTTCGAGTTCTTTCACGTCTCGATTGGCCAGTACGTACTATATCTTTCAGTTACGACGGGAAGTTATTAGCATCAGCCAGTGAAGATTTAATGATTGATATTGCACATACCGAAACTGGTGAGAAAGTCACACATATTACGGTGGATGCTGCTACTTTTACTGTTGCTTGGCATCCTAAACAATATTTATTAGCATATGCTTGCGATGATAAAGATAATTGTGATCGAAGAAGGGATGCTGGAAATTTAAAAGTTTTTGGATTTTCAGAATAAAAAGTATAATTTTTGTAAAAAAGTGTTTGCGGTTTCTATTTTTTGACAAAATTTATAGTGACAAAACATAAAAACAAATCATTTTTTTTGCTAGACTACAGTAAACAATTTTTAATATGCCAATTAGAATGAGTTTCTTTTGCTTATTGTAGGATAAATAAACTTTTAACCATGTAACATAAATAAGTTATACTCTACATTAAAGTAAAGTCTACAAAGTTTTTTTGGTAAATTATTTTTCAAATTCGGTGTCAGACTTTTTACTAGCAGTAGAACTTGTTGCCTTTTTTACCATTGTGTCACGTCTTTGCTTTAAGTCCTGTTTTATATCATCCTTTGCTTTTTTAAATTTATCCATAACTTGTTGTTTGGTTGGCACTGGTTTAATATAGCCTAATCGCACCAAATATCTAATAGATACCGTTGTACCACCTACAAAATTTTTTATAAAGTGAGTGTTTTATGCTTTTAATATTTTTAAGTAAATTGTTTTAACCTAATGTAACAGCATATCTAAGAGGGGTTGCTAATTTATAACACAGATAAGCAATTGCATAATGACCCATGTCTGATTCTCTAACTTTATCAATCATTGAATCGCTTACTCTTAAGTATTCCAAGAAAGTAGGTATATCTACACCGCTAAAATACATTGCAAATTAATAATAAGTTAATACTAAATTTTAAAGGTAATAAACCTTTTCGATAATAAATAAAAACTAAAAAACCAGCCAGCAGATGTTACTAGATGAACCGGTATCAAAACATACCAATATTTTTTATACATTAATTTAAATTTGGCAAATATTGATATTTTTTTTGGAAATTCATCTTCTAAATCGATTTTAATTTCTTGTTGTTGTTCTTGAGACCCTAATGTATTTTTATTTCCAGCGGTTCCTTGTACATTGCTAAAGGTATTTGAGTTACTTTCCTTTTTATTACAAAAACCCCGATTTTGGACTAAAGGTAGTATCCTTTTAGTTGTTTCCAAACTATTAAAATACCTTATATTTTCATATTCCCTAGCATAATTTGAAGGATTTGTCGCTTTACAAATTGTTGACAATTTTATTACTGCCGGGGAATTAAAGTTCCTTGTGCATGTTCTTAGGCAATATATATTTTGTTCCTTGCACAACTTGATCAACGTATTTGTTGCATATTTCGGTATTCGATTAATCATTTTAAAATTATATTATAAATTTCTTAACAAATTAAATTACCATTTCAGGGCAAAATAAAACTAATAATAACAAACGAAAAAATACTTGTGTGCTACTGTCATGTCACAGTCGTTGTGAACTTATTTGATATTGTACTACTATTATAATCATATGGAAATAATTATATGGATGAATATGTGTACATGTATTATTTTGATAAAAGACGTACATATAAACCTATTACTTATTATTTTGGTTTAATAAGGGAGAATTGAAAATATTTTTGACAGTATGCTTTCATCATGCAGTAGATATGTCAATTTAGGCGGCTTTTCAGATCAGTTGTTTTTGAAAAACTTCAGTTTTAAATTTAAGTTAAAGTGAATAATTAAATTTTGTTTTAATATACTTTCATGTTTACACACATACCTATGAAATTTTCATGAACTAGATTAAAGATAAAATAATAAAATAAAAAAAAAAACAATAAAAAATTGGTTGACGTTAGCAAAATATCAGCTGGCAATTGGCATTGTTTTAATTTAATCTTAGTTAGATAATAGGTAGCTTTGACAAGCTTAAATAAAACTCCGACTAAAAGTGTGAAATTTTCAAATATATACTTGAATTTAATCACAGTATAGGTATAACGGTAATCACAGTATATTTCGATTATTCAAGGCAAGGCTTAATTCAAGTTTTAAGTATGAATAAACCGAAAAATATTTTGGACTTAACTGTGGATGAAAAAAAGGAGTTTTTAAAATCTTTTGATATGGTTTTGAGTGATTGTGATGGTATGTGCCTACTAATATGTACATTAATATCAAATTGCATTGCAATAAGTACACTTAAATTATAATTTACAGGAGTCCTCTGGCATGGCAAAACTCCAATTGAAAATTCAGGAAAAGGAATCAATTTATTACAAGCTGCAAACAAAAGAATCGGCTATATCTCAAATAATAGTGGTAGATCTGATCAAGAATACGAGGAAATGTTTAGGGCATGTGATATCAACTTTGATTTGGTAATATTTTTATTTATTTTTTAATTAAAATCAAAAAGCTTTAACATAATTAGTTTAGAATAATCTGTGCCACACTGTAAAAAATATTACTTCATATTTAAAACATAATAAATTTGAGGGAAAAATTTATGCAATTGGTTCAAAATCATTGCATGAAGAGCTTAAAAGTGCTGGTTTTGAAGTAATTGAGGAACCTAATTACGCTGAGGAAGAGTCATTTATAGGTTTTTTACAATACATTTCGGTAAAAGAGAAAGTATCTGCTGTAATTTTGCATGGCTATTGGAATGTTTCTGCAACGAATTTAGTTAGAGCTCAAGTATATTTATCTGAAAATCCTGAATGCCTTTTTATAACAGGGGCATCAGATATGTTTCTTAAATTTCGTGATAAAAATATTTTAGGTAAAATCGAAATGGCTTGTACAAGGTTAACGGTATTATTTTTTTGAAAAAATGATATGCATTTGTTGTAGGTCCAGGAATGTTTACAAAGATGTTAGCAGACTGTACAAATCAAAAACCGATAGTTTTAAGTAAACCGGGAATAGATTTATGCGACATTGTATTAAAGAAATTCAATATAAATGATCCTAAACGTGTTGTTATGATTGGAGATATGTTAGATCAAGATATAGCGTTTGGGAAAATATGTAAGTTTCAAACATTAGCTGTTCTAACTGGTGGTGCGACATTAGAAGATTTTGATAAAGCAGAACATAGAAAGGTTCTACCAGATTTCTATGCAAATAGTTTAGGTGATTTCATACAATTTTTTGATGAACTGGATTGCGAGAACGTTGAAAAATAAATTCTATTCATATCGAATAATTTCGATTTTTTAAAACAATGTAATATTTACAATGTATATTATAAAAATGTTATTAATAAATTTGGTTTTGAGAATATTAAAATATATTTTTCTATGCAGCTATATACCTAGAAACTTTGTTACCTGATGTGCGTACCAGAAGTTAAATGAGGTTTGAGATTCGAGGCCAGAAATTTCAGTACATCTACTGGCTAATCTGATTACATCAATGTTCGTTGATAGTGAAACTTGCTGTTTTATAACTCAGCTTTAAGTCAATATTTAATTTGAAGTCCGTTTGTCTTAACCACGACTGACAGAAATGATTTTTTGTAAAGTCAAGGTCCTAACGAAGAAACCTAGAGTGGGATTACAATTTCCTTAGAATGACTATGCAAAAGATCTATGACAAACAGAAATTTGAAATAGAATAGATTAGCTTCTACTAACTTGTAGCCATTCCTAAAAAAAACAAGAAATTAATCTATGTTACATGGTCATAGATTTAACACTATATGGATCTTTTTTATTAACACTTGAAAATTCTTTAGTTTTTTGAAAAACAAGATAGGAAATGTAAAATTTTAATCTTATTCCAAGTATGAGAAATTTTCTATAATTCAGATATACACTTAAAATTCTAACTTCGATCTTAAAAATTTTTTTTGGATCATTACTGTTCTACAGAAACTAATTACATCACTTTTCCTAATTTCTAATATCTACATACGTTTTGTATATGATTGTTTTTGTAAATTTAAAATATTTTATAGCATTTAAAGAAAATCTTTTAAAAATTCTTTAGAACTTTAAGCATGTTACAATTTTCGAACGTATTTTTTTTTTAGTAAAAATTTATCGAACATGTTAAATCTAAGTCAGAACAAAATTTTTGAAAATTCCCTTATTTGTTAAACGTCCGAATAATGGTATAAAGGTTATTTTATTAATATTATTTTTAAATTAAATAAATCAAATAAGTTCATTTTTTTTTCATTTATATATTTATAATTCTTTTATTACATTAAATTAAAAATATCATATAGGTTTTTTTTTTGTTTTAATATTTATTGTTTAATATATAATATATATATATAAAAAAAAATAAGAATTTAAATTAAAATAAAGCAAAAAAAAATAAAGAAATTTCCTACTAAAGTTTCATTAATTGCTATAATAATTATATTACTTTTTTTTAATATAAAAATGTAAACCTTCATATCTGGTTCATACATGTATATAATATATTTAATTATTTATAATATTATATTCGAGAAATATTTTACAATTTTTTCTAAATAAAACAAAAAAAAAATTAAAACAAAAATTACGAAATTCTCACGTAAATAAACACGATTATATTATATATATAAATTTGAAATACTTGATTTTCTTTACAAATAAGATTTTTAATTTTAATTCTTAATGCATAAATTTTTTGAGTTTCTTGTTGTATTCATTTTTTTTCTTTTATTTTTTTTTTTAATAATAATAAATTTTAATTTTACATATTGTATATGCGTCTTTTTTGAACATTTTTTTTTTAATTTTAGAAAATTAATAAATTTTCTAAAAATTTCTTCTTAATATCATTAAAAAAATTATTGTTTTATTTTTTTTTTTTTAATTCTATTAAATATTATGTGAATGAATTTAGTTATAGTATAGCATATATGTATGTTGGTTTTGGTTTTAACAGAAAAAAAATAAAACATTATGGGGGTTCTATTTTCACTAATTTTTATAAGCTTGGTTTCGATTTTCAATGATCAATAAAAAATAATATTGAATTTTGCGGACTCAGCAATAAAGTCAATAATGTCGCGATTTTTGTTTCACATTTTAATTTTTTTCGTTTTTAAGTTTAAAGTTCTTATATAGTACACATGGAATAAATTATAATCATAAAATTTATTTATTTTTTCTTATCTAATTATGGTGGTCTTAGGATAGAATATTTTTTTTTTAATTTTTTACTTATTAACAATAATTCAATTGTATATTGTACCTTCCCGCTTTTTATTTTATTTTCTTTTTATATAAAGTAGAATCCTGAAAAAAATTTGTTTTTTTTTTTTCAAATTAATTAATTCAAATAATAATTACATATTTTTTAAGATTTTACATTTTAGCTAACATTAATAACAAAATCAACAAGGGTTATAGACAATTATATTATTATTGAAGAAAATATAGTTAGTATTATAATTTATTTAATTAATTAAATAACACTATATTAGTACGTATAAAAGTAAAATATACGAGCATTATAAAAGTTTGAATTGATTTTTTAGACAATATTAAAAGCAATTGAATTCATACAAAACAAATTGATACAAAATAAATTGTTGCAACGGCCTCTCGCAGGGCACACTTAGGCAAAACAGTATGTTAAAAAAAACAATTAACATGCAGATTTATGTGCATTTTGTAATTTTATTAATCTTTTAAAAATATCAAATATAAAATAAATTTTTGAATCATTTTGGGAGATTTTTATTTAAATTTAGAAAACAAGCTTTTGAAAATGCAATTTAATATTCTTTTGTCTTATAAATTCAAACTTGTGATTTTTACATGGTACAAATATAATAATTGTATATTTAATGGATTTATATGTAAATATATATTATAACAAATGGCAAATAAGAGATGTACAGCAAAATTAATGAAGACAGTGTTATATAATTTAATGTTGACGTATAAATATTAGGTTTATTTTGGTTTTAATCTTTTTTTGATGTTTTTTATTTTTTATTTTTACATGAATTGTAATTAATTATATGAAATTTATTATTCTCTAAAAAAAAAAAAAAAATTTTTTTTTTTAAATATTCTTATAAAGTAAAAAATTTATAATTCGCTTTTTGTCTTCTTTTCACAATTATTTTTGTCAGCAATTTTATACATTATTATAATTTAATATCTTAAAATGATCTTAAATTTTATTGTTAATTTTATTAATTATCATATGGCGAAGTCATGTTACATAATATGTTTTTTCTTTGTTTATTTTAATGTTTTTTTTTGAGAAAATTAATTTGATTAAGTTTTTTTTAAATTTTTTATCAAATTTTAAAATTGAAACAAAAAAAATTAAATAAATATAAAAGAAATTTACTTCATTTAATTTGAAATTTAATCTGATTTAATTTGAATTTATAATTGAAATGAATTTATTTTGAATTTAATAAATTTAATCAAAAAGAAGAAGAAAAAATTATATTATTTTAATAAAATTCAATTTAGTAATTTTCTTTTTATCAATTCATTCAAATTAATTTTCTCTAAGTTCAAAATATCGGATCACAGATCATTTTATAAACATTATTTTTTTTGCATTTTTTTTAGCAATATTATTTTCTATTTTATTTAAATTTTGTGTTGTTATTTAATTATATTTAAAAACAAAGATAATAATTTTTTTTCTGGTGTTCTTTAATATTTAAAAATATTTGAATCGAAATTATATTTATTTATAAAAAAAGGAAAGAAAATTAAAAAAAAAACTAAAAACAAATTTTATTGGGGGTTTTTAAATATTGAAGAAAATTGTAAAATTGTAAAAATTATCAATGATTTTGTTTTTAAGTTTTAAGTATAGTATTTATTTTGATTTTGGTTTTCGTAATATTAATTTTAAAAATATTTTCAATAAGAATTTTACAAAAGATATGTCAAAGTTGTTATATTTTTTTTATTAGTATAATCAGTATTATTATATGTAAATATTTATAGTTTTTTTTAGAAAACGGAATAAAAAAAGTTATTTTACAGTTTATGGGAAATTAAGTATTTAGGCTTTTTGCTTAATTTGTTTCTTGTTAAGAAAAGGGTATTATACAATTATATAATACCATTTATTATATTATTGAATAATAAATAAAATTTAATGAATTCGATTTTGAAAATTTTTGGGATTTCATAAAAAATTACTTTCTTTTTTCTTTTTTTTTTTTAAATTTTAGTCAATTAGTTCATATTTTATAGTCTAAAAATAGTCCCTAAACCGTAAAAATAATATAAATGTGTATATAGAACAATATTTTCATAAATTATTATTTGAAATCTTTTATCATTTTGTAAAAATTTTTTGTATTTGTAAAATACATATTATTGATATAGTTTTAATATGTATTTATTTTTTCAAATACTTATATGTATATTTATATTAATAAATGCTTTTAAAATTTAAAATTAAATTTGAAAAAATTGTAGTTGTAATAAAGAGCATTTTATTTAAGAATTATAAAACAAAAGTTGATTACAATATTGATAATGATCAAAATAAATAATTTCAAGTTAGGGTTTATGTAATAAAATAATATTATTGCAATATTTATAATGCAGTCATATTTTATAATTGTAAGTTTGCCGATATTTAATGGGGAATATTTTATATATTGAATAATTCTATAGTTTTTGTTTTTTTTTTTTTTAAATTCAGTGGTAATTTTTTTTATTTTGTTTTCTTTATAGTTATATACATAAATATATATACGTATATACTATAATTTTCAATTAATTATATATGGTATTTTCTAAAAAAATATTAGGAGTATATAATGATATTTCCCTAAAATAGAAGGATTTTATATTAAATATTTTTTTTTTCATGTCATTTTATTAAAAAAATCAAAAATTAAAATATTTTTGATTTTTGTTTTATTTTTTTTTTATCTGGTTTTATAAAATTGAATTTGTCAATTTGTATTTATTAAATTTAATTTTTTTTTTTATTTTGCATCATATGTATTTTTATTTTAATGTTTTAAGCTTTCTTTAAATTTATTGAATCACTTTTAAGTTTTCATGAATTTCATATACATAAATGGATTTATTTAATTAAATTTTTAATTGTTTTAATTGTTCAATTAGTGTAAATTTATCAAGGATTAGAGTTCAATAGATATATTTATTTATTTTTGATTATTTTAAAATTTTTTTTAATAAATAAAAATAAAAGTTTATTTTTTTTTAAGATTATGCAAAAGCTACGCTTTATTTACTTTAAAAATTCTCTTTTTGTAAATTATTAATTTTTGAAGAAAAAAGTGAAGCTGAAAATTGGTCATAGAAGTGGATACTATAAAGCAATTCTAAAATTTAGGTTTTTAAAAACATAATCTTATCTTTTATTACAATTGCTTTATATTATACAATATTGTAAGCCTTATAGAAAGGTAATCATAATTGTTGAAATTAAAAAAAAAAAATAATAGAACAAAATTTTTAATTTAATTATTGCATTTTCTAATAGAAATAATTGTGATTCTTAATATTTGCAAACAGAAAAAGCTGCTTTATTTTAATATTGAATTTTGTTTTCTTCTCTTTAGAAAATTACAAAACATTTTTAAATACACATTTATAAACATTTAGAATACATATAATAGAAATAAATTTGAAGATTTTTTTTTTCATTTTTTATTTATATGTATATAAAGTTATACATAAATATTAAAAAATTTTTCAATATATTTTCTATTAATGTTATTTTATTTTAAAGATTTTTAATGGGAATGTAAAATTACTTAGAATCAATTATATTAAAAATTGCATTTTTAATTGTACGTATTAAATATAAAATACAATTTATCTTTTAGCTCTCTTTTTTGTAATTTAATATTTCGTTTTAAATTAGTTCTTTAAATGTTTAGGCTGTTGCATTTAATATTTCTTTTTTTTTTCTCGTAAAAATTTTTAACAATTAAAATAATCCATGTACAATTTTTTTTTATTTTTGGATTACTTTTATTTTAATTTTTTTTTTTACATAAAAAATATTTATAAATTTCGATATAAATTTTAATAAAATTAAAAAAGCTTTGGCAAAATTTGACTAAATTTTCCAATATGTCTTCTAATTTTAATAAATCAAAATTTTAAAAATTGTCTAAATATTTAAAATAGAATTTAAATATTTAAAATTATGTTTATTCAATTTATATTTAGATTAAATATTCATTTTAGGATACGGATTTAATATAAGTATTATTTAGTGGTGAGTTTAAAAATAAATTATGTCTGGTTCTCAGTTATATAAGTCAGAGGGATATTTAAATATCTAATTTTCTGATTTTAAAAGCTTTAAATTTGATATATTGGAGTTGGTATATTGGAGATATGAAACTAAACTACAAGAACTTCAAAAACAATTGTTTAATATAACATAAAAGTAAATTCACAAGTTTAATTAAAACTTTAATACTAATGAATTTTTAAAAATTGCGAATTTAAACCAACTCACCAAATAACTAGCTGTCTATATTTTGAAATCTGTCTTAAGAATTTAACAAAATGATCATCCGCTTTTTGTTTTTAAAAAGTTGAATATTGAGAAAATATCGAAATTTTAATTAGATATTGAAAATTTAAAAATGTAACATAAATATTTGAATTTAATATTATGTACAATTAAGAAAACTTGAGAGTTAATTTGAATTTGATCAAAAATTAATTTATTTTGTATGGTTTATTTATTTAGACCTTTTGCAGTTAAGAGTAAAGGAATGATATCCTTTCAACTTAGCTGATCATATCAACTAGCAATAAAAAAAAAGTAGAGAATTATAAATATTAAGAGATTATTTATTAGAATTATTAAATTTTGAATTGGTTAGTTAAAAATAAAAACAAAAATTAGCCCTTTTAAACAAGAGTTTAAAATTAATTATTACAATAACCAACAAAATAATTTAATATTATTTAGGAAAAATATGATGACAAAAATTTAAGGGGATGATTATTTTATTAAATTTAAAATTTACAAATTTAGGTATCGTTTTTAATTTAGGTATTTGTTTTTTCTATTTTTTAATTACAATAAATAAATTTTGTTTTAATTTTTAAAAAACGATTTTCTTTTTGTTTTCTTTTTTTCAACTACATATTATTATATAAGTCTTTTTTTAATTATTGTTTTCGATTTTTTTCATTTTACATTTAAATATTTTATTCTTTTACATAAATTATAATAGGTATATATATGCAATTTTTTTTTTATTTTGTTCTATAATACAATCATCATTATATTTATTACTTTAATTTTTTAGTTGTTAATTAAATATTTATATTAATGTATATATATAAGTCAATAGCTTTATATATATATCATTTTAAAATGAACAATTTTGTTTTCTGTTTATTTATATTATATTTTATATTTTGTGAAAAGGTATTTAAACTATTAGGTGGCGTGGAATGTTCTCAGTTCCATTATTATTTTTATAAAATATTAATAATAATAATATAAAATTGTTAAAATCAATTTTAATTAAATCGAAATTATTAAAAATAATAAATAAATTTTTTTGAATCAAATAGACTTTAATAATTTTTTTATTAATTAAAAATATTTAAAATTTGTTACAGTAATAATGAAAATAAAATATGTACGTTTTAATTTTGGATTGCAATAATGTAATTATATGAAATTTATGTTGAATTTTCTATTATTTTGATGTGTACATATTGAGATATTATAATATAGTTTTGCGTATTGGAATATATTAAAAATTTGGCAGTGTTTTAATTACATTCTTTGTCATATGTATATAAAAAAAAATGAGCAATATAAATGAAAATAGAAAATTGAATATATTTCTTTCTTAAATTACAATTTTTTAATCATAAAAATTATGATTAAAAAATAGAAGTTGTGGCTTTTTCAAATCCAAATGCAAAATAATTAAAATTAATTATAAAAGTTGAGAAGAGTATTAATTAATATTCAATATTGGAATTTAGTTTTTTTTTATGAATTTTCACGCAAATATAATTATGAACTCTACTTATGTATATTAGATGTACAGTCTTTTTTGAATTGAAACTTTATTTTAAATTTAAGATTAAAATGTCAAAAATATAAAATAAAAATATTACTGCTTTTTGTAAAAAATGTTTGAAGTATGAAAAATTATTCTTTTTACAATTTATAATTTCATTGTAATTTAATTAAAACAAATTTAAATTTTACATATCGCAACAATGTTCTATACGAAAATTTCGAATTTTCGAATAATTTATTTCAAATAAAATATTTTGAAATAAATTCTAATTTTATTTTGAATTTCTTTGTATGAATTACTCTTTGAAATTCGTATTTAATTATAGACTTCAAATATTCATGTCAATTGATAAAACGAAAATAACGAAATTTGATAATTCTACTGATTTAATTTTTATGTAGTTATACATTAAATGTTAATTTATGAGTTTATTTCAAAAAAAAAAAGATTCTAGAATTAGAATAATAATTTCTACTAAAATTATATTTTATAAAAGCTGATGTACATATATTAAAAGAAAAATGATTTTAACTCTTTCATATTATTATTACAAATATATTTATAATTATATTAAATAATTTTTTTTATGACATATATACTTATATATATAAATTATATATGTTCAGGTATTAATTATACCTTTATACAATAATATTTTATTACAATTTTACAAATTCTATAAAATGAAATTTGTTTTTTTTTTTTTTCGTTTAATTTTTTCTCTCTCTTTTTTCTAATTGTTATATAATTATTATGATATTTTGGTTTTAATGAAAAACAATTAAAAAAATTGGCCTTTCTTGTTTTTTAATTTTTAAATATAATTTAAGATTTTTTTTTTTTGTTTGAATTTTCATTAAACATTTTTGCATTTTTTCAGTTTTCAAAGCTAAAATATACACATACGTACATAATATATGCTTGTTTTAATTTTTATAAATTCATAAATATTTTTACTAAACATATCCTATAGAATAATTATTGTTAAAAGAGAGTTATTAATTGTTTTTTCTTTTTTTAATTTAAATTTATAAATTGTATATTTTGTTTTTGTTTTAAATTTTAGGCATTGCTGAATGTGATTTGATGAAATTCGAAATCGTCTAATCTGAAGTTTTGTTTTACTGAACATTTTTTATTTATTTTAATTTTAATTCTTTTATTTAATTTACTTTCCTTCAATATATCACATTTATTTGTTTTATATTATTTTTAAAAATTGTGTTTTTTGTGTATATTTTGTTGCTCTCTTACATTCCTGATTCAGCGATTCCTTCATCATCTAAAAAAAAGAAGAAAATTGAAAGAGAAAAGAAAAAGACATATGAGATTAATTGTAATATTTTTAAATTTTCAAAAAAAAAAAAAAAAAAAAAAACTATTAGAGGAGATAAGAGGGTAAAGTTAAATTCAGGAATAATAAATGAAGTACATACATACAAATAATTTTCTTTCGTTTTTATGTTAATAATTTTTATAATTAGTAAAAATTTATATGATAATTTTTTATAGAGTTATTTAATATTTACATAAAAAAAATAAAACTTAAGAATATTCGATATTTAATTATCAAATGGAATTTTGAAGAACAGCTAAATTTAATTTATTTCAAAATTTTAATTTTAACGAAGGAGTAGGATAAATTTCGATGATTTTTATTATTAGGTTACTATAGGCTAAAAGTTTAGAGGCCTATTAGTTTTGGTTAAATGTTAACTAAAATAAGCTTAATTAAATAATAACATTGAATAATATTATAATTTATTGCTTATAAATTATAATTAGCAGTCTTTAATTTATATTATAAATTAAAGGCTGCTGTTATAAAAATTTTGTCGTTTTAGAATGTTTGAGCCGAAATTTAATATGTTTCTACCGTTTCTGCAATCACTATCAAATCTGAGATAAAAGAAGATATCCAGTATAACTGTATTTTTTGGCAACAATACTAATAAGTTCTTTCGTTATACGATAAGAGAGGGAAATTTTATATCGGATGCGATATATGATAACTATGTAATTGATTTTCTATGTGGTATACTGACGAAACTTAAAAATAAAGTAGTTTTTTTACAATTTTATAAGGGCTATTTTGAAAAATTTAATTATTAAAAATTACATATTGTTATACATATACATTATAACATAATATAACATTATAACATGTTTAATAGCAATTTCTGTTTTAATAATTATAAAATTTGATTATATGAAAAATCTGATTATATTTTTCCTCAATCGATAAAAAATATCGCAAAAAATATTTTCATCTTAATTATCAAATATCGAATAAACTCAGTTTTTATTTTTATTACAATGTACCATACACCATTTTAAATTAGAATATTATATAGTTAAAAATGTTTCTTAAAATTTGAAGTAAACTAAAATTAAAAATAATTAAAAATGTTAAGTACACCCATTATAATTACAATAACATATTACAGATGAAGTTTTAAAAGCAAGCTTAATAAAAATGATTTCAAGAGAGTTATAAATTAATATGAACAAGTGTTTTAGTAACAAATTAAAACTAATTCTTGAAAAATTATTATTTTTTGTTAGAAAATATTAAGTGTATGTATATATATATATTTATATATAAAATAATAATACCAACCAACAAATGGATTAGTGTATATAATTCCTTCACCACCATTTTTTTTGCTATTACATTTTGTTATTAAGTCATCAGCCACAACAATCGTAATACCATTTTCAGTGGTGTCACCATTACGATGTGTATTTATTAACAATTGATCATAGCAACTAACATCAGTACTAATAACATCAATTTCATCATCGTCATCATCTTTTTCTAAACTATTACGATGACTACCGGGATGACTACCACCGGTACTACCACCTTGCATTGGATTTGAATCTTCATAGCTACCTCCACCACTATCATCATTTGCATTATTCACTTCTAAATTTGATGTTGTCTCATAATCTTCATCATCATCATCATCGACGACCCCGTTACGTACACAATCATCATCATCGTCATTTAAATGATTTTCATCATTTTCACCGAATTCACCACCACTACTGCTACCACCACCACCGCTACCACCACTTCCACTACCACTTCCGCCAATGACAATACTATTAGAACCACCAACTCCTTTATAATTATTACTAATATGATGATGATGATCGGTGTGAAAACTGTTCACACGGATAATTTCATGACTAAAACTATGAGGTATATCACAGTTTGTTGAGGTGGAAGATGTAAATGTAATCATTTGGGATTTTGGCCTTTGATTATGATTTTGTTGTTGACTAAGAATTGCTTGTTGTGCAGCTGCTTCAGCTGTCATTGTTATAGGTGTAGCATTATTTTGTGAATTTGTTGTTGAAGTTACTATTGAATTATTTATGCCATTTAATGTTGCCGTTGCGGCAGCATTTGTTATAATTGTTGCTGTTGTTGTATTATTTGGTGTACGGAATGTACTTGATAAATCTTGTGTTATACCACCATTCATTTGTTGACGTTTTATTGTTGTTGTTGTTGCAGCTGAGTTATCAACCAGAACGATAACAACACTATTATTGTTTTCATTCTGGTTTAGTTCATGTCATCTTTCTGCTTTCCATTGATTTGTGCTCAATAATTGTTTATCGTCACCAGTTGTTGATCCAATTAATGATTGTGTTAAATCATTTGTATCTGAATTATCTGGATGTTCAACATTATCATTATCTTCATCATCATCATCTTCTTCGTCATCATCATTCTCATTACCATCTATATTATTAATATCGGTATTATTACCATCTGGATCATCATCTAAACCTTGATGATCTTCATTAGCAGCATTTTCTAATAATTCTTGTAATAATGCTTCACTGTTTTCGATTAAGGCTTGATCTTTATGATTTTGCATTATATTATAGAATTGTTGCGAGACAAATGATGCGCGTTACAAAATGCAAATGTTTTTTTGTTTTTTTTTTTTTTTTGGTTTAATTCAGATGTAAACAATTAATGGCGGGATTAAAGCGATTTTTTTTTTTATTTTGATATTGTAATGATGATAGTTTTATTAAAGAGGCGAAATTGGAATATAAAAATGTGCAAAAAAAAAACATTTTATGTTAGATTAAAATGACCCAAATACCAGGTGCATATTTTAATTGAAACAATATTTGATTTATTAATAATTATTGTATTTTGAAATGAATTTCTTTTAACGAAACAAAAAAAAAATACAATTTACAAGATCCATATGTAAAATTAAATAATAAATATAAAGAAATGTTGAAAAACATTTAAAATACCCAAAGAAAATTAGAAGAAAATTAAAGAATATAAGATTGAAAATTGATTTAAAAAATGTTGATAGCGGCCCAATGAAATTTTAATTATAGTATATATGTATATATATATAAGAAAATTTGTAAAATGTGAATTTAAAGATTTTTAAAAATAAATAGTTTAAAAACTGCAATCATTATCGATATTAGCTAAAAAAAAAATTTTTTTAATTTTAAAATGTGTGTTTTTCCTTAAGTTTTTAAATTTTCAAACTAAAATTTTAATTAATTTTTAGTAACGAAATTCTGATAACTACTTAATTATAATTATATATGTATATAAAGAATATCGAAATATGGTTTTTGGAGTGCATATATTAAAATAAAACATTTTATGTTAGAAAATTTCGATGATTTTAATGTCAGTAAATTTTTTCTTTATCCTTTGATTCCAGAAAGAGAAGAATTTGGAGTACTAGAATTAATTATTTTTTGCTTTGAAATTATCAGCGATTTGTTTAAAATTTATAATTGTTTAAGTGATTTCAGAATTCTAGTAATATGGTATTAATACAAAATTCAGCAGTTACAACCGATAACCTGGTTTGCATTTTAATACAATATTACTGCATTGTATTCATGCAAATTTTATGGATTTATTATAGAATCAGAGACGAAAATATTGTTTAGTTTATTTCGAAAAATGTAAATTTTATTAACTAAATTAGATTTTGCTTTATGTTATATATTTGAGTTGAGCAGCAAAAAACGGAAAATAACTATTTTGCATACTCTAAATTTTATAGTATGTTTATTGGATTGTAAAAATAAAAATAACGTAAAAGACAATTTTTTTGTTTTATTCGCTTTTGCGAATCTTGTAATTGAAATTCTTAAATAAATTGTAGGTGCAATTAATTAAGCATTATAATTTTTCAATTTAAAATTAAAAAATAATAAATATTAATAAATACAGTAATATTTAAAAGAAATAAATTTACAAGAGAATTATTGAATATTACAGAGAGAAAGTACGGTAAAATTCTATTATAAGAAATGAATTTCTTATAACAGAAGTTTACTAAACGAAAAAGCAATCAAAATTAATAGAAAGAAGAAAATTATTTTAATTAAAAATTTCTATAGTAAATTTTTAGCTTTATAGTTATCAGAATTATTATAATTTATATTCGCTCTTTATTTAAATATTTTAATATTTTCTTTTATATGAAAATTTATTAAAAAACTTATTTTAATAAATAATTAAATTTCAGTTTAATGAAAAAAAACTGATTTCAGTCTTATAATTTTTGTTTTAAATATATATTATGTTTTAAAACAAAACCTTGTATTCGAGTCATAAAATGATGAGATTTTATGTTTAGACCGTTTCCAAGTATATCAAAAATGCATGCAAATGATCTTAGTCATGAATTCCAAAGCACAATATGACGTAGGCGTCATAAATTCCAATTGTACGTTGCCAACGCAACTGATTATTTTTTTCGCATTTCTTTAATACAAAGAAGTTTTATATATATATGAGAAAATAAATGACAAAGAAAACATTTTGAAATTATAAAATTTTCAATTTTCCACTTTATTGAAATAATTTTTTTTAAATGTTAATTGCTCGAAAATTGCTTACAGTTGCAGATGATTGTCATTTGCAAAATCAAGCGAATGAACGTGATTCACACATGATTGTCAAATCTTTGACATACTGGGAAATAGCCTTGTCTCTTTTTTTTTTTTGAGGTTAGGAAATGATGATTTGTTTTTTTTTTTTATTTTGTTTTGTTTTTTTTGAGGGTGAATATTTTTTTTTTTTTGAGCGATGCGATGAGCGTTACGATTTAAAAAAATAAATGATATTTAAATTAAAAATTTGAAAAACTAGATAAAATGATTTTTCGAAATATTAAAATAATTAAATAAAAAAAAAATTAAAAAAAGAATTAAACAAATAGAAAATAAAGATCAAAATAAGCTTAACAATGAAGCAATAATGAATACACTTTGAAAAAAATTTAAATGAATGAAGAAAAAATTTTCTTTTTTTGAAGCAAACAATTCCATAAATTTTTCATATAGCTTTTGTTCTTTACTCGCAATATTAAACAAAAAAAATTCACAAGTATGTTTTTTTTTTAATTCATCGTTTTTTTTTAAATAACTGTTCTAAAATTAAATTACAATTTATTTTTTTTTACTTCTTAAATAAAGCGCTAATATCGACAATTTTTGCATTTTTTTTTTTTCAATTATTTTTTTGTATAAATATTTTTTTTTACTTAATTTTTTTCTTTCATTAAAAAATATCGTCTTATTTTTTATATTTAGTTAAAAAATTTTTATTTTGTGTACCAAAAAAGCTTAATATATAAGAAGGAGTTAGTGCTATCTACAAGATTTTTCATTTTGATTTTCTATTTTCGCTTTTTATTAAATATTTTTTTTCTTATTTTCTATACTTTTTTTTTTTTTTTAATATTTTAATTATACTAAAAAATTAACAAATCGTACTTTTTGCTTTTTTTGTTTTTGTTTTTTTTTTTTTTAGAAAATAAGCAATTTTTTAATAGTTAGTCACAGTCCACCGCTAAAAACAAATTTTAAATTAAAAAAAAAAAATATTTTATGAACAAAAAAAAAAAAAAGAAAAAATTTTTTAAATTATTTTTTTTTTTCATTTAAGGTTTTTAGAAATGAGAGAAAAAAATAATTTTTATAAAAGTTAAAAAAATATTATATAATAGAAATAAAATATTATTTAATATTTTGGATATTATTTTACAAAAAAAAAAAAAAAAAATTATTCTGTTTTTTAATTTAAAAATTATTGAAAATATTAAAATAATATTTTGGAATGATTACTAACCTTCATAGCCTTGATTATCATGAATTTCTCTTGGCGGTCCTACAACATTTTCTTTACCTTCCAATACAGCTAATAGACACTGATGAATACAAATATATTGTTGTTCTGTTTGAACCATCCAGACACGTTCTAAAATATATGAAATTATTGATTATTATTGTTTTTTTTTCAATTTAAAAAATTTGAAATTCCTTTTAATTAAAAATAATTTTTTAATTACGCCAGATTGTGATTCGTTGTTTTTTAAGCAATAAAAATACTTATATATAAAAATTGATATTCGTAGAACAATAAATTTTTAAACTTCTTCAGTAATATTAAATAATATTCGTTAAGTAATATAATTAAATAATAAAATGATTAAGTATATTAAGAAATTAATCTATAAATTAGATTAAAATTCAAAAGAAAATATTTGAATTTAAATTAAAGACATCTAAGAATTATTTATAAATTGAAGTTCATATTAAAATTAATATTGAACCAATCGACGAAGAAATCAATTTTTTTTACCAAATTTGGTAATTATTTTAATTAAGAAATATTTTCTTCTCAAGAAAACCCTTATTAAAACTCTAAGATTCTCTTATTTTATTTTATTTAATTAAATTTCTTATATTAATTTATTATTTAAATTGTTCATACCTTTTCTCATTGCCCATACAATACTAAATATATCAACATAATCAGAAACTTGAATTTGTTGTAATATTCTATCCAATGTTATAAAAGTACCAGAACGTCCAACACCAGCACTACAATGTACAACTATAGGTCTTTGATCTGGACCTACACGTTCTCTAAAAGCTCTAACAAATCTTGCTAAAGTTTGTGGCGGATTTGGTACACCAAAATCTGGCCACGTTGTAAAATGAAAATGACGTATGACACGCTGTTCGTTACCCTAAAAATAGAATAATTATAATAATTTATATTATTAAAAAATATTTATCATAAAAAATATAAAGTATTATGAATAAAACTTCAATTATAAATTTAATATACATACCCTACACATCATAAATTCTGTAATAACCCAATCTGGGTAATGACTATCATTGAGTATTTGAACTTTAATATCTCCATAAAATACTGGCACTGTATCATGTGGCCAATAATGATCACATTTTTCACGTCCTTTTTCAAAGCAACGTGTTAACATAACAATTGCTCTACTATTTGATTCCCAGCACATACGCCAAAAATCATCACGTGTCGAATGTAATGGACCTTGTGTTACAATAAATTCACGTGGTGAATTATGACCAGGAACATAATTTGCATTTATATAATCAGAACCTTCATCATCATCAACTGGTTGTAATTTAAAACGTGAATGATCATATGGTAATATATTTGTAAAACGATTTTTCGGTCGATTACATGGTAAATCGGCAAATGTACATGGTTGATCACGTCCAACATGTTTTAATTCTTCAAATTCTTCACTAAAACGAAAATCTGAATCGGCTGACATCATACGATAATGTTCCGCAAAATTTTTAACTGGTATAGGGCGATTTGGATCTATAACACTTTCTGGTAGTGACATACTGTCATTTGTGCGTGATTCTTTTGTTAATTTACGACCACTATTTCGTCTTTTTCGTAAAAAGACTACTGCCATAACAGTTATAAGTATAAGGCAAACTGGTATTGTTATTGCCAATATCAGTGAGGTGTTATCTTGTTCTATTTGATTGAAAGATAGAATAAATGAAAAAAAAAATTCAATTTAGTTTTAATTTTAATAAAATATTAAAATCATTATAATAAAAATTTAAAAAATAAATAAGAAAAATTTTATATGAACTAAGAAAAAATAAACAATTCAAAACTCATAATAAAAAAAATAATCGCGCAATTTCCATGCAAAGCTCCTTTATAAATTGCTATTGTAAAATATAACAATAAAAAATATTAAAACAAATACAATTTTTACAAAAAATTATAAAAAAAAATTTACTGAAATTGTAATGTGTAATGTGAACATCGATGCTCTCCAGTTAATTTGAATAGACGCTAGATATAAGATTCAATTAACGCGTTTTATTTTGACTTGAAATCATAATTGACAATATGTGATTTTTCTTGCTGATATATGTAAATTGTAATTACAATGTAAAAGATTTACAATATAAGTTAACAGTGCTTAACTATTTAACGTAACTGTTTGTATAATAGTAGACACTCTTATATGCAAGTTTTACCATTTCCGGATTTTAACAAATTAGAATCCATATTTTATATGATACATATAAAACACACATATATATAAAAGATAATAGAAAATTTTTTAAATATGCATATTATATAAAATAAAACACACTATATAACATACACACACAAATATAAAGAAAAAGTCTTGTTTTGTCTAGAATTGTAATTAATCTGAATTATAATCCTAAAATAGACACGTTCTTCCATCTATACTTCAAGATAACTATATAGTCATACAAAAAAGAACCGTTATATATGTATGTGTATATGAAAGTTTTATTCTATATTGATTGTTATTACAAAATGTCTGATTTAAAATGTACAAGGTGTTTTATGTTTTCATTTAAATTATAAGAAATCCCTAAATTGGAATCTAAAATCAATTTGTGTAGCATTACTCTAAAACATCTCGAATTTCATATTTTATCGCCACGTAATACCACTTTTAAATTTAATTCAGTTTGAATATGAATTTCAGAACGAAATTTAAAGACCTTATTATATTTATACATGAAATTCAATAAAACTTTTTATTATTATGAAATTGCATAAGCGTAGGGGTAAAAAAAATTAACACAAAATTGATTTCAAAAATTTCAATTCTTGGAAGACAACAATAAAGACATTAAAAATTTAAGTGAATTAAAATATTTTTAATATTTTCTTAGAAATTTTTAATTCTATTTTATTAAACATTATTTTGTGTGGAAAAATTTTAAGAATTGAAAGGGCGGGTGACATTATTCTTCAAAAATTTAAAAATAGAAAAAATATCTTTTTTTCAGTTATTCTTATCGGGATTTCTTATTTGATAATTAATTAAAAATATTGTAGTCGGGATGAAAAGAAAAAATTGAAAATTTTCTATTGTAGGCGGCGCCGCATACATCTTCATACACTCAAAATTAAAATGTCCTTGCCCTCACACCTACTATAAATATATACTACACTGATATTTTGCACATGTTACCATTCACACATCATTTAAGAATATTAAAAATTTATGAAATTATTTAACAATTTAATTTTTTCGTAACAAAATTTTATTATATAAAATTTCATAGAATAAACTCTGGTTTTATAGATTTTGAAGGAGAAAAAACCCACGTTTTTCCAAAAATATTATTAAAAATGAACCTTATTGTTTTGTTTTATTTTTGTTATTCTACTTATTTAACAGGATTTTAAAATTTTTTTTTTTATCTTAAAAAGTTTTATGTCCTTGCTTTTTGTTTAATTTTCAAAACAAAAGAATAATTATAAAATATCCTTTGAAGGAAAGGTGAGCATCATTATAGCATTGGTATTTCAAATATATACGCATGTATATATATAAGTACATATACAATTGTATATTAATTTAAATATTGTTAATGTTTTTCTTATTTTATTCAATTCATGTAACCGCATAAATTTTTTGGCATAAAATTTTTTTTTTGCTTCTTTTAAGAGTAGAGTGACTGTAAAATAATAAAATAATTCCTTTACACAAACCACTCATTATCTATATACGTTCTATATACATATATTATGTATACATGCATATATATATATAGATATATATATGTACATGTACATATATTTATTCGCCATTCATTAGTGGATATGCTTATAACCTTTTTTAATTCTTCGCTTCTTCTTCTTCTCCTTTATATATTTTTATTTATGTATATGTGTTATTTTGTTAAAATTAGAACATTTTTCTATATGCATATGAATGTATGTATACATATATCAATGGAATGATGGTAGACAATTTCATTATATTATGTATTAAATGTTATATAAATAATTCTATATATGTATATAATAAATATGCTATTTATATTATGTACGTGTTTATTTCATGAAAGAAAAAATACCATAACAAAAAAAAAAGAAATTCTCTTTCCTTTTAGCAACCATTTTGTTTACAACATTTTTTAAGTATTCCCATTATATTTGAAAAAAAAAAAAAAATTATATAAATAAACAATTTTAATCCCGTTTTCCCATTTTCCTGTTCTTTATTTTCTTCTGTACAGCAACATGCCTACATACATAATTTATTTATATTTTCATATAGTATAACATTTTTGACAATAAAATATATGCATAGATAATTGTACATATATGCTTTGTGTATATATATATATATATATATATATATATATATATATATATATATATATATATTTAAAATTGTAGGTGGTGTAAAATATCCTTACACATTTTAATATTATAAAATCTCTTCTATTTTGTTATATTTTATTTATTATAATAAAAAAAAAATGAAGTTCTTGTTGAAGGTTGTTAAGCTTAGAAATCGCATGTAAAGTGCAAGTTACAGTTAAAAGACAAATGAAGGTGAATACTGTGTTGGTATAATGAAGTAAGAAAAAAAAAATTATAATATTTTTTTTTTCTTACTTCATCAACCTTTTATTATTAATTTCTATAAGAACTTCTAGTTCAATAATTTGTTTTACATAGTTTATGTGTATGTAGATTATTTTTGAATTTTTAATTTTGAAATTTTGATTTCAAAAGAAAAGTAAGAAAATTTTCATTTTTTTAATTTATTATTATTTAAATTTTACTGATATGAAACAGGTTATTAAAAGATTGCAGTCAGAATTTTTAAAATTCAATAAATAATTTGAATTTCTAAATTCAGTGATATGAAAAGCTTGAAAATAAACTTCGGAGTTTCGGTATTAATGAAATTTAATATTTTTATATTAATTAATTCGAGTAGCATGTTTGCAATTGGTGTGGTTACTGATAAAATTATATAGATCAGCCCTTGTGTAAATTTTGTTGGGACAGTGATGAAACTGCTGTGCATATTCTATGCGACTTTCAGTAATGGCTGTTCGACGTCGCAATTGTTTCTAACCCGCTAGAAGATATATCTCCAGCTTCATATTTCGAACAGTGATATTACATTATAGGCGGAAGCGTGGGGAGGATATAATAAGTATCGAATGGCTGCGGTAGCCCGGAAGAGATGTTCTCCTGCCTCACCCCATCCTCTTTAAATATGAAAAACTATAATATAGAGCACAGAATATGCAAGGCCAGAGAGTTGAAATTGCAAAATTATGTTTAGTATAATCTTCAACACATAAATGGCATAATGAACAACAATTAGAATACTTGATGCAACAAGGCATTATGCGTCAAGGCAGTGTTGTTATACGGCAACGTCTAATTACTATAAATTCTTACTTTAAAATTATAACATCTTTCTGGAGCTCTGGAGAGGTTAAATATTTTTTACATAATCTTGTAACGTTTTGTATAATATAATATTGTATTACAGTAAGTAAACAACATTATCTCTTTATCTATATCTAAGCTTATAATTATAGGAATATAGGAACATATATGCAAGAATGCAGACATAGGAGTAGTAATCAAAAGTAATTTCATTTTGAAGTACAAAAAAGGAACAAAACACACATATAAATAAAAATAGAAAAGGATAAAAATGGAGGTGTAAGCAAAGGTGCTACTGCCTACGTTTATAAAGTAGACGGGAAGTAATAAAGTTTACATATACATATGTATATATAATATTACTCTATTATAATAAATACATTTTAGATTTTATTAATAAAAAATAAATTACATGTATAGTAGGTAGATGATTTTTTTGAATAATAAAAGGATGCAAGCTAAGGTCCTGTATTGTATAATAAATATATTTATAGCTGTTAATATAGTATAGTAATAGATAATACTTCTTATATATGAATATTCAATATATTTAATTGATGTAGGAGACTGAATTAAAATAAATTTTATGTTATAAAAATTTGATTGGAATTTAAAAAAAGAGGAAAAATGAAATGCTCTTCCTTTACGAAAATAATTAAGAAAAGCTTTCAGTTCTTGTCATATTCTTGGCCATATTTATAGTTTTATTTAGGTAATTTTACAAAATGGTGTAATTTCCATTAATATTGAATAATTATCGTTTTTATGGAAAAAATTTGATTTTTTTTGAACAGTAGAATCTTTACCCGACAAACTTTTTTCTTTATAAAGAATATTATTTTCTCTTTAGTCAAAAATAATATTTTGACTGTTATACATTTATATTTTTAGTTTTAACGAATTTTTATATATTTTAATAACTCTGTAATTATTATACAAACAGTAACTTAAAAATTTGGAGTATTTTCAATTTTTGTTTTGTTACTTTTACTTAGATTTTACTGTATATACATTTGTTATAAAATTTGTTATGTTTATATTTTGTTATACATTATGTTTTGTTTATATTTTATATAAATGTTTTATAATTTTCAATAAAAAATTTTTTTTATAATATAAACTAAAAAAACATAAAATATACAATGCGGTATACACTAGTATAATTTATGTATACCCATATTATATACAAGTTGTATCAAGTATAATATACAATCTGTATATATGTATGCATGCCATTAAATCATAATAATTATTACTATGAGAACAGGTAC